TACTCTCACCAACATACATTTTAAACAAGGTAATCTGTGATTCACTTGTTCAATGTTTTGTTGGAAAGTAAGAACAGTGTATAGATGTACACTTTAGCTTTAAAGAATGTTATAAAAAAAAGATTTATATGTATGGGTTTTAAATATCCGTTTAGTATCTTGACAAAAACAGACATATCACCACATTAGCTTATTGATATATTTTGTGCTTTTTTATATGTTTATTACGATTCAGAAATGTGTACAATATTTTGCAGATTTTTTTTCTCAGTTATTTCCAGAATAAGAAAATAAAGGCTAATGTTTACAAGAGAGGAAATAGATTTATTCGTGTATATCAAGAGCATGGCCAAAGACACCCGTTACAGTATAATATGCATGAATTTTGCAGCTGACAGAGAATAACATATCATCAGGGATGTAGATATCCATTATTTATCTAAAGGTGCAATGTGCTATCTAAGAAGCTCATGAACAGATTCAACATCCTTTTACCTTTCTGTCCTTTTCCTGTCGTGACATAATACACACACATATACACATATGATTATATTAAATGAACACACAATTATAATATATGTATGTACATGATTATATATATATAGGAACAAAGCTTGTGGTGATAAATAATAAACCTCTACTGAACAGCTACATGTATGTATGAAATATGAACCATTACTCCTGTTTAAACTATATAATTATACACAGGATACTTTAAACTATTCTACATAATCCTGCTTATGTACATGTGAAAAAATATGAAGATACAAGTGGCATGGTATATTCCACGCATGTTAATTACATACAGCAATGAGCATAAAAATATATCTAGTATATATGAAGAACAAGAATGAATGATTTGAATGAACAGAACACGCTGAAACTTGACATGTATGTATGCCTCACCTCGCTTCTTCTTCTTCCTCTTCACCCTCCTGACGACTCCATCCTCCCCCACCTCTTCCTCACTCTCCTCCTCCTCTGATTCACCAGACTCGTAATCGGATCCTACAGGAATGAAATAACATATCCATTCAATGCTATCCAAAAGCAAAATTTGTCAATGTGTGTAAAATTCCTGTAACACTAAAAAATCTGAACCAACTCTGTTATGTCCAACATGTATAAGAATTGAATCTCTCAAAATCTAGCAACATTTTCATAAAAGGGAGAAACTGTAATTTGCAATAAAAAAGTCATAAATGTTCATCTAAATTTCTGTAACATTTGATAATTTTTGATACTACAATGAATTTCATATTTTATTTAAAAAAATTAAGGGAGCATTTGCTTAAAGAATTCTTTACAATATGGTAACAACACCCCTCTTGTGTTTTCTAAATCAGACCTTCTTCCAGCTGTTTCCTGAGCTCATCTATCTCCTTCTGGAACTGCCTTAACAGTGCGTCCTTAGGATCCTCGTTAATCTTTGCCTTGTTCTGGATATTCTTGGCTCTGTTTGCGTAGCGCAAAGTACTGATGGACTCATCATAGTTATAATCTGCTGGGCCAATGTTTGCAATCTAAAAGATTCCAATCCATGTCATTAACACAATAATTCAAGCAGAATGTGTTACCCTTTAAATTAATTATTTCTGTAAATTTTTTTCAAAAGGTCTTTTTAAAATAAACTATAAAAGAGTTAAAAACTTCGCAATTCTGTTTAAAATACTGTAAGTTTTCTTTACCATCTCGTTTTACATTATTACAATGACTATCTTACCATAGCAGTCTTTGAGTTCCCTCCCAGTGAGTCCTGTAACAGTCTGGTCAGTTTGGAGTTTCGGTACGGAATGTGAGTACTTTTCCCGTCCACCAGGGAGGAGATGACGTTACCCAGGGTGGACAGGGACAGGTTGATCTTGGTGGCCTCCTTCAGTCTCTGTCCAGTGGCTCCTGTCTTAGCCTGCCTCTCAGATCCCTGAAGGTAGGGTTTTGACATTTGATTAACTACTGCCTTTCACTGCTAACTACTCCCATTTTTGCGAGTAACTCAAGTGACTTTTTTGTGAACTAAAAATATTTCTAAGCAGTCATGTAAGAAGTACATATAAATAATTCCTAAAATTCTCAGGTCAGTGCAATAATGCATGTAAAATGTTTATGCACACAGGTTGGCTTTTCATTTCAACACAAACAAACATCTTGTATATATAAACTCATATCTCTCAAATTTTCAGTGTATCGTGTTATCACAGTAACATCATACATGACAAACCAGAATCAGGCACACTCATTATATACTTACTGCCAAGTCTACCAGATGTAGTTTGCCTACTCGTACATGCTGTTTACCATCGGGATATTTCTCACTACATTCTATGGTGACAGTGAAGATGGCATGTGATCTAGAACTGTGTAGGTTCATGTTTGTGGCACCCACATGTCCTATTGAAATAAAATCATAAAATAAAACAGGAAAATAAATCAATGTATAGGCTATATTTTCCAAAAGAGTCAAATTGCTGCAGATTTTTATGCCTTATTTTCCTCAAATCCATCCAATTGATGAAATATAACATAAACTGTGAGTGTTCCTTCAAAAGGATACATGCAATTTGTTCACAGACAATTTGTCACATATGTACAGATATTTTACGAACACAATATAATGTAAGAGAACTTTTAATTGGCAGAAATGGATTTATATCATTATGTTGATATAATTTTCCCACTAGTATTCCTAAACTTACTGTTTTTGTTTCCGATTGTCATGATTCTGTCCATGTCGTCAGCGTTATTGACACTGAATGCTGACAGGTCTTTTACATACACCCCAACATCTGGTCTCTCCTTCACCTACAATGTACAATGCATTGAATACTTAGTTAACATTCTCATAGATAAGGCTAAAGTCCAATAAATGTATCATGTAAATCTGCTTATTTTAGATAAGTAAAAAAAAATGTTGACAAAAGACTTTTAAGAAATTCATCTGTGGACCCCATTTACCTCTAGTCTGGCAGACTGATCTTTACCCAGCAAATCTCTGACTTCCTCATTATAGATTTCCAGATAGCAAACACGGACCAAAAACCTTTAAACAGTCACAGAATTGTTAACATTCATGGAAATTATACTCAGTTCCCAAACAAAAAATTGTCTTTTAATGATGCATTCATTGCTATTTTTAAAGATTTTATGCAAAATTGAACTGTAATGAGCATATCTTGAGTTGCATTTCAATTTATCAATAAATTTACCTAGTATCTCCTTCTGCTTTTGCTATGTGACCAAATATGTGAGCAAAAGAGTTAGGAATGATCCCTCTTAACTCTGGCACAGATCTGACTCCTTCCATGGTGAAGGTCTTCCCTGTACCAGTCTGTCCATATGCAAAAATGGTTCCTGTAAAAGATAAAGAATTAAAATATTATGAATAAAGATCAGATTTTTTTACTTTTCAAAGAGGGTCATGATCTTCTTCTTTCTACATATTTGAGGTTGGCAAGTAAGGTAACATTTACTGTACAATATGAATAGATAGTCAGAGAATGCATTCTCATTTTCAAAGATTACTATATTAAAAGTTCAAATCTCATTTGGACCATACGCTATAAATTATGATATTCAGTATTTGGCATTCAGAAAAATCTAACCATTGTATCCTTCTAAGACACATTCCACTATAGGTCTGGCTGTTTTATTGTACACGTCTACTTGTTTACAGTTTGTGTCAAACACGGTGTCAAAGGTGAAGGTTTTGGGAGGATCCCCTGATCCAGCATTGGGAGGTTTCACTACAATGGTTCCTCTCACTTCATCAACCTGTAAGTTAAAGAAAAATTGTTTAAAATGGTAAAATATGAAAACTGATTTATATTTCATTTCCGATCCCCCCCCCCCCTTAATTTCTCTCAAATTACTTATCAATCATTTGCCATTCTGACTCATCCAAAAATAGTTTATGATCAATCAGTTTTTAACACAAAATCTGCATGAGTTAAAGATTGTTTGGCAGTCATCAGGTTTGACTGCTGGTAGCAAGAGATCTGCAGTTAGTACAATATCTGACTAGTGATTCAAGGGCCCTGGGTTTGAATCCTGGTCAGATCCATCACATTTTTTCCTTGTCTCTTACAAATGATGCCATGCCTTGTCCTGGAAGTGAACGGTAAAAGCGCTGCAAAGGGAACAGCCTCAGCCCTGGATTTTTGTCAGGGGTAAAAACATTAACACATGATTAAGTAGAGAGGAAAGTTGGCAGTGCAGTGTGACACATTCACTCTGCAGTGCACCTGGGAGCCAGATAGCTCAGTAGGTACTTCAGATGGGGTTCAAGGTTCGGATTTTGTCGTTACCAGTTACAAATGTTTTTACAAGATGGATTACAATCTTATCATGACATTGGATAGTTTTGTATCTCACCTTGACACACTGTGTACAGCTCTGCTCTTTCTCCTTGTCATTCAGTGGTCGACATCTGACACAGACCTGGACACAGTCCGACTCCTTAGCACTCTTCTTCTCCTTTAGATACAATACGTATGATCATGATGATATTACTTCAATGATTGAATTATTACATCATTCAGTATACACTGTGACATGTGTATCAGTGAAAATGCTCTTGAGTTTGTGTGCAGCACTATACAGCATATGTATACAAAGAGCTTGTATGAAGTCAGTGAGCAAGAGACAATAAACCGGTTCTATGTAATGACATAATTCTTTAATCTACAGATTTAGTCATTTATATACAAAATGTACAAGATGACTGGATGATAGATTCTGAGAAAACATTTCATATTCAGATATTGTCTTTTCACTGATTTCAAAATAAACCTATGGCTGATGAAAATAACTTCTTACCAGCATGCTTCTACTTTTCAGTTTTCCATCTGCAACTCCTAAAGAAATTTTTTACTCCTAATAGGTAGATTTGACTGTGTGAGACTGTCAATACAAAAATATTTAGTTGTACCACTGTGAATTTTATCTCAATTTTGATTGGTTAAAATAATTTATCTCTCGGAAGACCTTAAAGATTTTCCAAACGTATTGATTACGAAAGAACAAAGATGGCTGCGCCCTTGGAGTGACGGAGTCTTCTTGATGCTCCATAGTTCTAGATTTTATATGCAGGTAAATTACATGTGAGTTGCATACAATGTACAGGCAGAGGTGTAAGCAAATAAAACAGAAGTCAACAATCAACACGGTGTCAAGATTGCAAATCAGAAAACTGATGCTAAAGTGATTTTTTCACACATAAGTTCGAAATTCCTCTACAAAATGTTTTTTTAGGCATCTTTAAATTGACGGAGGAGCTGCTTAATGTCAACCATCCGTCCTGTGTAATAGTATTCATGTATATTTTAAATTTTATTCAGATACAATCATTGTGTTTATTAGTTTAGTTATCGGCATGTCATTTATTATGTAAGATATATCTACATTTCATTGAAGATTATCAATTTATAAAATTATGGAAATCATTTTTTGATTCACGAATTCAAACTAATCTAGGCAATTGAGTTAACCCCTTATCTCAGTTGGTAGAGCACTGGACGGGCATGTCAAAGGTTCAGAGTTCAATCTCATCTCTGTTTAGATTCTGCTGGGCTAGATATTTGGACTGACGCCCACAGTGGCGTGTGTCTGTGGACGTCAGTCCAAATATCTAGGCCAGCAGAATCTAAACAGAGATTAGTTAGAGGTCTCATAATAAGTCTCAAGTTACATAATGATATGCCAAAGGCATTTAGTTAGCATAGTGATTTCTCAAAAATCTGTTGGTATGTTCTTTAAATGTAAGTTGAGTCTTAAATTCGTTTTAGACTATTTAAGTATTGCAAAGATGCTACAACAAAGCACATAAAAATGCTTCAATATTTTGTACATCAAGTTGTATTTATCCTATGTTTTTAGAAAAAGAATGGCAGCTGTTGATGAAAATACAGAAGAAAAGAAATCGATCTTTTTCTGGAGAAACTGGGGAAGAAAATGTGACAGAGTGAGAAAAGAGCTGTATGAGTGTGTGATAGTCACTGATTGTTGTCAAAAGGTAATATTTTCAACACATACCTTTAATGCCTAATACAAAGTCTGTTGGCACTGAAGTACTTTTTCATAAGTTATGATGCATGCCTGTTTACCATGTTTACCAGAGTAAAAGTTCCAGTTAATATACATGACGTGCATATTGACAAGGATAGAAAAAAGATAAATTTTATTTTGAGTCATATCATGGACAGAATAGGGGCTTAAAAAGCAATTGCAAACCACTATGAAGCAAGTATTTTCAGAATTTGCTTTATTTGATATCTTCAAAGCTTTCATAAATCAATATGATTTATTGAACAGAAAAAATTAGGTTAAGGGGAACTAAACAGATATTGGTAAATGTGTAATTCCTTGTTCTAGGAAAGGAAGACACCTAAAGAGTGCTTAAAGGAACGACATCCAGACGTGGAACATTGTCAGACATTAGTCTACTCTCTATATAGATGTAAACATGGAACTGTAAGTTAACATTAAAAAAATAATATTAAATGCTTCAGTTTATGTTTTATTAGATCCCAGCAGTAACGTATAAATTATCTGAAACATTAAAGACAGTCATGATACATATTATATAGTTAATATTGACTTGGTATGAGGGTAATATGCATTTTTTGGGACTTGGAGGTGGAAATGTTGCCCTTGACCTGTGGCCTCATGCTACATTTTTAAAATCAGACCTAGTATCC